CCCCCCCCTTTCCGGCCCTCCGGCCACAATCCTTTCCCACTTCTGTTTCTAATTTAGCAACAAAAGGAAATAAGCACGCGAAAGCCAATCAGGCCAAAAAAAACGGACCTGCAAAACAGAAGCAGCAGTATGACTGAGAACATTTTTCACGGGTGCTGGTTCAGTTGGTGAAGGGACACGTTCCACGACTTTCATCGGTTCCTGTGATACAGCCTAAAACTTTCACAGCATTTTCTTCTTCATGATCCAGATCTTGTAAAAAAACAATCCTTTCGAACTTTCGAAATTCTGTAAACATTACCTCAGGATTTCTCATACTCTGTGTCGTTGGAGAAACCACAGCCATCGGAGGAAGACCACCACGTGTTCGACTCATGATTGATGCCAATTTCGCTTTGCGCAGTTCACGCTCTCGCTGCTCCCTTTCCAAGCGTTCTTCTTGCGCACGACGTCTTTCTTCCAATAAAATTTTTTCTCCCATCAATGCTGGATCCTCAGCGATAACATCAGTACTTGTTTTTGCTGACGATGGACCCTGAGCGGATGGTATTTCGGGTTCAGTTCTAATTGCTTCGACAGCGGGTACATCGGTTTCCCCTACATCTTCTGCTTTAGCAACCGATTCTTCCTTGAAAGATGCATCGTCATTTTCTTTGGCAAGCGACGCTTCTCGCGCAGTAGTCTGAAAAAAAAGAAACATTTAAGTAAGCAGAAAAAAGTTAAGATCTGAATGTAATTTAACACAGGCAATCCCATAGTACAAATGAATTTCAAGCTTACCTTCAAAAGCGAGGAGTATTTTTGCAACTCAAGGTCAGAACTCCTCACAGTTTCACTGTTTATGGAAAAAGAAGCACAAAGCAATTTAAACCGATTAAAAGCACTATCAGAAAATAGGTCTCTTTCAGATTAGACAAGAAATAAACCTCGCTTGTGTCGTTTTCCGCTTTTTTTTGTCCTTCATCGTCCGCCGCAGCAACGTGTTCCTCAACTTCGTGCATAGGAATCTCAATATCCCTTCTCTCAGCCTCTACCACATTGCCCTCCTCGCCAGCATCCTTCAATTCAGCATTTGTATCACCCGAACTTTTCAGATCACTCTTGCTTGCTTCCATGTCTACATGATCATCCGCTTCCACACTATCAACCACAAACGTTTCATTGATAGGAATTTCACGATCCGCCACTGAGTTATCTGCTTCGAAGTTAACTTCTTTCGGACTTTGCACAACAGCAACAGCATCAATTTCATCTTCCATTTTAGAGTCGCATTCGACTACATTCCGTTCCTCAGCAACAACTTTAATCCTGTCCTCAGCCACAAATTCCTCCTTGGGAACTTCAGCAGTGATTCCATTTTCGCTGGGAATTTGCGCTGCTGCTGCAACTTCACCTTCACTTACTAGCGACACTTTCCCGGCATCGACTTCATTTTTCACTTCAGCACTAGCCGCGTTGTCTGGCACATTAACATTTTCTTTTTCAAGAATTACGAATGTCCCATTGGAATGTGCGTCATGCAAAGATTTAGTCTGTGCAATCTGCGCTTTCACTGTCTCTTTCTGATCCATTACAGGCGGCTTCACGGCTCTTCTTGGTATAGGTTTCGACTTCGGAACTTCGATCTTCTTTGAAGGCCTAAAAACGAAGAAATGCCAATGTGACTCAAATTTTGCTCCACAAAGACAATAAAAAGCGAAGAAATGTAATAAAATGCAAAAATTTTTAGAATAACTGGTTGTGCAAGAGCGAAAATTATGTAAGCATCGAATGGGAGTTGTTTAGCATCCGCTTGGTATATTCGTAACGCGCAAGTTTTTGAAATGCACACTGTAAGGCATTTAAGCCAGTTTTGCCCGCTCGGTCCTCACCGCTTAAAAGAAATTTGAGGTTCCTGTGAGAGCGAAAAGATGAAAAAACATAATTACATGAGAAGGGAACCCACTGTGGTTGTGCAGTCTGTGATTTACGCCCCTGTAACGGAGGACACTGCGCAAGGATCTTCGTTGTCTTCGGCAAATCACTTCTCCGAACGGATGATGTGAGAGCCATTGCAGCGGATGGTGCACGGCGCGCAGTCGATGGACGATGAACTGCAATACAAAGGCATCCCAATACTCTTCATGTTTTCGAATGAAATAGAACAAAATGTGGCCTTAGTAAAAAAAAAAACCTCAGAAAAGCCAACAGATTTGCTCAGCTGGCAACTTTAAGCGTTGGTCCTTCGGGAAAAATCATTCTGAGGAGCTCTAGATTAAAAGAATTAAAAGGAAAAACTTATTTAGAAATCTTCATGGGCTTTGCAAATTTTAATAAACAGCGGCGTACCCCAGCATAGCCAATGTGTTCATGCGTTTTGCGCAGTTTCGTCCGGTGGACGTTTACCTGCTAAGGACCTTCTCGGTTTTGCTGTTTATTTCCTAAGCTGTGAAATTTCTTATTAAAAATTTCACGTACCGATGATTGAAACGCAGACGTATGTGAAAGCTCAACTTGAGACCTTGGACGGTGTACATCGCATGATCAAAATTCTGACCTCCTAGTTCTCTGGCTTCTGAGTAACTTTTCTGCTAAAATCTCCACGCGGAAATGTGTAAGACTGCGTCATAACTGAGGGCCAAATTTAAGCCTACTAAGTTCTTGCATAGGCAAGAACATCCTCCTGAAGTCCTCAATCTCTTAGCTCTTCTGGCTTCTGAGACAACAATTTTCCCGCTAAAATTTACACGAGGTCGCATGTAAGACCCAGGCTTACGTGAAAGTTCAGTTTGAATCTGCGGCGTCATAGATGAGCAGAGGACGTAGTCTTAAAATTTCAACCTCTCAGCCTTCGTGATTTCTGAGATAATTCTCCCCGACAAAATTTCCATGGGGTCGTACGTGAGGCCTGAATTTAAATTTACGGGATAGCACATGGACGGGAATATTCCACTAAAATTTCAGTTTCCCAGCTTTTTTGGTTTAAGAGTTGAAAACGCAGAACAAAACGCACTCGGACATATAAAACACATGCATATACACAGAGGCGTGACAATATGCGTTTTGAGCTGCTTATACAACACAAAACGCATAACACATAATAGAGAACAGGATTTTACAAATTCTTTGTATTTTTTCCCAGATGCCCCCCCCCCCATCTCTCCCAAGTTTTTGCTTACATCGACTTTATCGAAGTTTGCGAGCAATGTCGTAATGATTAAAGATAATAAAAATTTCGAAAACGCGTTTGAGCCCGATTTTCCCTTCGAAATAACGCGATAAAACAAAAAAAAGGCACTTCATACAAAATATACCCGGTGTTTGACTGAGACCCGTAACTCTCGCTGATTTCGGTGTCACCAAAACGGACTGCGTCATACAGTTCGGTACTGGCTTCTGGCGTTTCTTTATTTCTGAACGTGCAACATACATGCTCCGCGTCATCGGAGCACTCGACATGTGACCACGTGATCCATTGGGTGGTGTTGTTGTTAATCGGCCCGACGATCCGGAAGTTCCAGTTGGACTGCGGTCAGACGGGGTCAGCTTGCGATCGTAAACCTGACAATACTTTTTGGACGGGTAATTTGATTTTAAATCGGCGGGCTCATGAAAAATTCGTCACGAAAATATTAGGGACAACAAAAAGTGATGAAACGGAGACAGAGAGACAATTCGAACATACCTTTTGTTCCTTTGTGAGATGTGTGAGGTATCCCAATTCTCGTGGCGTGCTGCTACCAAATGCATAAACTGGCCGCACTTTGTTTTGCGCCGAAAGGCGAGAAGCTACTGCATGCACTTTCGCCAATACAGCCTTAAATCAGACTCATCGGCGTCATGTAAGGACCTACAGAAGCACTCAAGTTTCAGGCATCTCAGCTCTCGAAAAACTAATGCAGCAACAGAAATATTACCAATAACCACTAATCCCCAAATACTGCTGCTATAATCAAAAAAGCTAAAGACGGCTCTACAGATCACCCTCAATGAGAGGCGGAAGCAGAGTATGAGAACATTAGCAAACAGTAGCCAACCACTGGCACAACATCTCCCAAAAGCTGTTTAGAAGCAAGATGATGGTGGATTTGGCTCCCAAGCAGCTGCTGGCGATAAGGATGAACAAATTATAGGCGAATACGGTTTTTTAAACGGAATGAAATCCCAAAGCCCTGGTGTCCAACCCTCAGGCAGCCGGAATTAAATCCTCAATTTTCAGTCTCAGAAAGACACAACCTCTGAATTAAACCATCCAAAGTGACTGGTAGCATCTTTCTAAGGCTTTAGTCTTAGAAAGATGGCTTTAGTCTTAGAAAGATGCTACCAATCACTTTAATCAATAATAAAAATGCTTCGGATAAACAGGTGGTCAAGTGGTAAAATCATGTATGAGTTTTTTATTAGTGCATATACCTCCCATTTCCAAGCATCTAATACCTCCCATTCCTAAGCATTAATTTCGAGGTGAAAGATCAGTGATAGCAATAAGGCTCAATTCAATCTTCGTTTTGACTCCCAGCGATGAAGACGCAATGCACCATATTCAACTAATTCAGACCAACCTTACCAGGATCGCATAAATCATGAAATCAATAAAAAGTAGCGGAAAATAGTCAAAGCCAGTGAATGCGCAGCCCCGCTCCGTACTACACTTGGAATACAATTGTGCTAAGAATGCAAGTAATCTAGATAAGTTTGGTAGTATAAAAATAAGCTACAGTTGACTTCTGAAAAAAAAAAAAACCTCTTTCTTCTCTTCCTCCTCGGCTAAAGCCTGGGCGCGCCGATCCAAAACGGCCTTGGCTCGCAACATATCTCGCTGCTGTGCTTCGCGTTGTTTTTGCAAACGCTTAAAAAGGAAAAAGTTTGAAAAGGACAGCAAGACTGCCGAAAACACAATTTATGCAAACACATCGCAATTTTGGAAAGAATTACAACTGGATTTTGTTATAAATAGTGCCAAGGAACGATGCAACCTCATGAACCGATCGAATAACAAGTCGATCACAAACCTCTTCTTTCTGTGCCACGGCCCGAGCCATTTTTTCATCCTGTAACCGCCTCGCCAATTGCTGCCTGCAAGAAAGGATTTCAGCTGGGAAGAATCAAGCAGATGTAAAAATGAGTCCAAATTCACCTCGGCAATTAATACTGACATAACTTTTGCAGCAACTTCTAGTAACAATTCAGGCAGCTACGGACTTAGTGCATTTTGATCAAAAACGCTCTAAAAGTACAAAACACAGGCCCGGTTATTCCCCAATATTTATTGAAGGATCAATGATTTCTTTGAATGCGAGGCTTGTGATAGCGAAGATTTCTCGCTTTTACACATGATTTTTAGAACTGATTGCTTTATATTTAAGTGTTCGTCACAGCTGTGCTAATGAAGCCAGCTGTTGCGTCCTCACATACTAATGAATTACAACCTCTAAGCAATATGTAATAAGCAAAATTTCGTGGATTTCCAGTGAATTTCAAAATTCGCAAATTTCAGAATCTTAAATTTCGCAGTACCTAAGCGAACGCTTCATCCATATTATCCTCCGTTTAATGTATGCTTCTTTGATCAAAGCCGACTGAACATAGATGAATATAAAATCCCAATGGCGCACTCAGAAAAATGGAGAGGTGACGGTGCGTTATTCTGTCTTTGCAACAAGTGCGCGAAATCCAGCTGCAGCCATATGGGAGCAAAAAAACATACCAGAAGCTAATTTGCATTTCAAAAGCAAGTAAACCGGTAATAATGGGTGTGCGCTACAGGAATGCTGTAGAAGAAATGCTTAAGGGGACCACTTTCATGGTGAAGACCAAGAGATTCGCAAAGTGAGGAACCTTTGTTCGATCTGCTGCTGCATCGCTGCCCGTCGTCTGGCCACTTCCTCAGCATTATCCTTTCGTGCTGAGCCCGAATACATCGAGCGATTCAACACGGCGCCCCGGGCAACCGCCGCTTCACCCATCGTTTTCGCTTCAAAATTTTAATCCTCGCTTTTAGCACCAAATATACACACCGGATTATAATATGCTCGAATACGCAACCTACAATGACGCTCAGACCGGTTCACGTAGTTTTCTCACCAGTCAGCATACATTATGTCGCCATGATGCTTAACGCGAAAACGAATGCTTTCAATCGACACGTACGTGACGCAAAAATTACTGGAAAAAATGGCTGGGATTAAGCAACGCATCGATGCTGCTTCAGACTATTACAACTGGCATTTCAAAGAGAAAAATATCACCACACAGAAAAGCGCGCCAGGAAAATTAGAGAAGCGTGCCAGAACTGAGCTGAAGCTGCGTTTCTGAGCGATTTTTATGCGTTTTGTGCTGTGTAACAGCGTGGAAAAATGCATATTTTCACGGGGT